CGGGCTAAAAATGATTTGTTGCTCAGATAAACATCAGTCTCAGAGGCTGTGAGGTTTAAGAGAGCAAGCAGTCGGTCAGAGCTCAAAATGATCACAGTTCTTTGTTGCAAGGTAATGTAGAACTTTCTAATCCAGTGGACAGTTGCCACAAAGTTTATTTTGCTGTTCTAACCTATCATCTTTACTTAATTGTACTGCACTGCAGATACTTTTATCCAATGGGCTCCTATCTCACATACACACATATGCTTCTATTATAACATCTGAACTCTTAGCTTACTCTATACAGTTACACCCCTACATTATAAACCCTTCACCATCTTATCAATACAGTTTCTCACTTACTTAAGGCATATTCTTACTTACTACTATAGAAACATAGGTTGATAATTTTTCTGCCTAATGTCTGTGTACTTTATTTTTTACATCAAACCAAGCTTCTTCCAAGACTGCAAATCAAACCTTCCTGTGTCTGTAGAAGTTTCTATCTTTCCATTTCCCACAATAGAATAGTTGCAGTAGGATAAGACCTACAATGCTCAGCCCAAATGCCTGACCTGACCAAAAGTTAAAGCATGTTATTACAGGAATTGTAATACAATGCTTACAAAATGTTGAGAAAAATAAAATTTGCCTTCATAATAGTCCCGTACTGCCTTAACATGAAGTCCCTTGTGCATATCAAAACATGAGATATTTTTAAAAAATGCTGTTCTAAACTAAATAAGCTTTCAGAAGTCCTAGAATAGGACCTTAATTATAGGCAGGTCTCAAACAGTAAGGTTTTATCCAGGTGTGACTGTCTACTCTACTTTTCTTTAGAAAAGGACTGAATTTAGAAAGATTCTTCCCCACACTTATGTCCATTTTGCTCTCCATGAATAAAGACAGGATTTTGTGAGGATAAGTAACTCTGAAAATGGAATGACACTTTTGTCTCTCCACAAAGGAACTGGTGAACAAAATGGTGAACAAAACGGTGATAAATAATAAACCTGTTTCATGTTGTCAAGCCAAGGCTATTTCTGTTCTGCTGCTTCTGGAAGAAATTAATTTCTTCTCCCAGTTCAGGGCATTGTTCTGCATTATCTTACAGCTGGAAACATTTGTCTTATCCCATTTGTTATTTATCTAGCTTTTGTTACTGCTATGAACACTGATCTATGTATAAAATAGAAACAGTCACTGACACAAATGTGTTTTTTGAATGGTAAGCATATTCCTTGATTCTGGTTGTAAAACCCTATTAAATTAGATTTTTATAAAGTAAGAAGTATTACAGTTCTAGTAGAAATGTATTTGGGCTGCATCAATCAGGGAAACAAATATTCTTCTAAATGTAAAGATGCATTTTCTACCAGTCATTGTACTTAGCTTGAGGCTTGAATGCTGATGCTGTAAACTATCCCTTAGATTTGCTATACCTGTGGTATGTTGTCCTGAGGTAGTTTGAACAAAAACTTTTAATGAAAACTGGCGAGCCAGAGCTTTGTCTTTGGGCACCTGACTGTCTGACTGCTTGTGTGAAGTGTGAAAGTAATCAGGATGCAGATAAATCTGCTGAAACTGTGTGTATATATTGGTAGGGGAAGATTTTGGAGATACTGGCTGTAGACAAAGGAAAGATCTATTGAGCTGTATTCTCTGTCAGGCTTTATTTTGTAGAGGAAAAAGTTTATTCCACAGCTTTGATACATGAAGCATCATGCATTTGATAATAAGTAAAGCATCCCCTGCTTTCACCTGATCATTCTCCCTGAAGACATGAATCATCTCCCCCAAGAAATGATAAAAAATATCTGAGAAAATAATGTACAAAATCTCTGCCATAAACCAGGAGGGGTCTTTGCAAGCTAGAAAGCCTAGCTTGTTCATCATTTTTGTAAACATGATTGAAAAGTTAAGCTTCCTATAAGAACATCTAGAAACACAACAATATTTTTCAAATGGAAGTTTGTTTGCTCCCTAGCAGTGAAAGCCTTCCTTTAATACTCTCTCCTCTATATGTCAGCATTTCTTAGCTATCCTCTCCTAATATGACCAGATATTATCCCAGAGACTTAGAGGTACTATTATTTGGAGAAAATTTGTACACATGGCAGAATTGGATTGGAACTGAGATTGCAGAATAAGATCTGCAGTTACAGCTGCTGTACCAGGAATGTGTTTGTGAGCAAGGCTCACCATTATATGCAGTCCAGCTGCCGGAGTTTCCACATTTTCCTTCACTGTCTATGTGCTCAGGTTGCGTGTGCATGGCTGTAACTGGAGCCTAAACTTTCCAGGATTAAAATCTGTTCTGCCCAGTATATCTTCAGTAAAAAAAAAAAAAAAAAAAAAAAAACAAAACAAAACAAAACAAAAAAAACCAACAAAAAAAAAACCCCGAACTTGTGTTTCAGATTTCCTACATTCCTAGATTTTGGGCTGTTCACTGAAACATCCTCTTTCCTATGTGGTGCTTTTAGCTATATGTGAACATAAAGTATATAATTTTTCACAAGTTACTGAGTCAAAGTTACTCTGCCAGTACTTTCAGACCTTGGGGAGTTTTGAGATTATAGATTGTGCTAAGGATACCCAGTGGCTTCAGATGTACTTGGAAGACTGAGCATAACAGTAGGATGCCAGATAGAGTGCTGTGGCTTTCTGCAGTTTTAGACAAAACCAAACTAAGAGCAATTAAGATTTTTAGTTGTAAATAACTGCTTCCTTCCTGATATGTGTTTTGTAGACAGTGGATGAAATGTGAGTATCTGTCTGCTACATAATCAATAGAATAAAAATCCCCGGCCACTTATTTCCTGTGAAGTGATTAAAATCCACTTAGCATGTAACATAGTCTATGCTGGCCATACCATTCCTTTGCAGCAATATGTCAAGGTAATGATTATACAGTTTATGAAGTGCTTAAATATAAGTGGTCAACATAAATCTTCACAGAGTGTAATTTAATAGTTTTATTCCATTCAGAGAACAAATGTAGTTAAGCTTTGGTTGGCCTTCTCGTAGTTTCCTCCGAAGTTACATAATGTTACAGTTCTTTTACCTTTTGAGGGGTAGCTTTACGTAATACTAAGAGCACTGAAAGGATGCAGCAGGACATGGTTCTTATCTGATTGGTGATATGTAAGTGTCACAAAAGATTTTGTGCTGTAGCTTGTGACACTCTCCCTTCTGCTTGTAAAGGGGTCCCTGCAGAGAAACAAAAGCTCTGCTGTTTGCTCTGCCATCCCTAATAAACCTTTATATAAATGGGTATATAAATGGGTGATTTTTGAAATCTTATTTTTATCAATAGATTAAGTCTACTATCTAGTATTAAATTTCAATTCTTGCCATTTGTTCCTCATTGTTTGGTTTATTTTCATACAAAATTGAATAATCAATTTGAAGCCAACAACTTCTTCTAAGCAAGTTTTCCCTGGAAGAGGCAGAGCAACAGTTTGAAGACATAGGATTGTTGGACAATCAATTGGAACATTGACACAAAATCCTACCCTATTTTGAAGAGTTAATAACTTACATTAAATCAACAGGTAGAGTTGGAAAAAATTAAAAAAACCACATAGGCTTGAAAAATCTGGTTTTGGAGCTTCAAATCATGGTAAATTTGTCTGAAAATGTTACCACTTACTACTTCTCCCATGGGCACATTATCTTGCGGAAATCAATTATTTTGGTTCAGGTGGCAGTAGATTTTACCATGCATATTTATTTTCCCTGTGATTGCATACTATTTTCTTAGATAGTTGAATTTTTTTTTTTAATTAAGACACTGGACTAAAAGCCAGCTTGGTATTTGGAGCATCTGGCATGATTCAGAGTTTGGGTGTTACTAACATGGATGATGCATTTGTGTTGTTACATTCTTGCTGGTTAAGGTGAAAACAAGAATATTTCCCCATTTTTTTCATTTTTAAAATAGAAGGTAGTGCAAAAAAAGAAGTATAATATCTTTATGAACTTTTATGTGTATTTTTGACAGCAACATATTCTTGATTGATATTTCTTATTGTCGTGTTCTTTTTCTCTGAAATAAAACAAAAGAAGCGCTAAAACAATGACAGCCCTTTGGCTTTGATCGAGCTTATTCTTTTTTGAAGCCAAGCCAAAATACTGTCTGTTCAGACTTGAACATAATTCCAAAAAATCTTAAGGAAGTGCTGATGATACCCAGTCAGCTTCTGAAGACCACATACCATAGCATTTTTAAAAGATGTTGGAAATAATAAAAAATAATAAAGAGACTGTTGGTTACAGAATAAACAAATTATTTAATAGACTCCTCCCTTTTTGCTGCTTTTTGTTGACATGCTATTAACACCTCATTTATTTATAGTTCTGTCTTTTGATTTTCCTTTAGACATTTCTCCTCTTCATACAGAAAAAACTGCTGTATGTGTAACATGAAGTGTGCAGTGTTTAGGAATATTAGCAGTGTGTCAGACAAAGCTGTGTTCATATGAGAAAATGCCCTTGAATATCTACCATGATCTATTGATTGACATTTGTTCTGGTGCTCGCAAAACAGGTATTTGAAGCGAGTACACAAAACAGCACTTATTTTCAAGTCGATGTGCAAAGCATCAAATCCTAAAAATCTATCTAAAGCTCTAGCTTTGCAGGATATATTACTTGCAAGTAAAGCCGACTAACTTGGGAAAGAACCTAGGCATTCTCTGATTTTAATCAGTACCGTCTCATGAGCAAATACCTTGTTTAGCAATTCACTAAATCTAGCAGCCACAGGCCTGTTAGTCCTAGAGAGGAGCCTCCCAGGGTTCAAATAAATCATGGATGCTTTTACTGTCTTTCACAGTAGAAGAGTGAATATCTTGGTTCTTCATTCTTGTATCTCTGCCAATTAGGCTCAAAGCTACATCGAAGTATTTCTTCTAAAGGAAAGTAAAATTTTCTTGTTTGATCATCATGTTTATCTTTTAAGTTTTTGGTAAAGTACCTGTGCGTCTAAAAGTGTTCTTTTATTGTCTTTCTAGTTCAATTTTGTTGGGAAATTGCTTGGACCAAGAGGAAACTCTTTAAAGAGGTTACAAGAAGAAACAGGTGCAAAAATGTCCATCCTGGGAAAAGGATCCATGAGGGATAAAGCTAAGGTACTGTGTCTGGACTCTGGTTGCAACTAGTGTTGAAACATGTGTTGTTTTAGGTGTTACACTTAGATTGCATGTTTATTAATGACTCAATTAAAAGGTCTATAATAGACTCTTGACTCCAAGGCTAGTTTGTTTTTTCACGTTACATCACTTGCTTAGTTATAATTTTTTCTTGCTATGCCAACCTTGCTTAGATCTTCACAGTTGCTATAGTATCACTGTTATTGAAATAATTCACCTAAAAGATAAACCAGTTTAAAGTTCATTTGTTCTGAGAGAAGTCTCTTTCTCCTGTGAAAGTACAGTTTGTATATATTATTGGTGTAATATCAATGTACATAAATGAGTTTTATCTTTTGTTTTCTGTTTCTTTAGATACAGGCCTTTTTTAATATTGAATATTTATTCAGGGTATAGTTCTAGGAGAAGATAACAAAGTGGGCATTTTGCTTAAGTGTGTGCAAAAATGCACTATAGATAAAGAAAAAAAAAAAGATGTTTTTTAACAACCTGGTTAATGCCACTGAGTAATTACTTGTAGGTAAGTGTTACTCCTCCTCAACCAGTTCCCCACCAAGTTTATATACTGAACATGATGCTCTGTGGTATGGAATATCCCTTTGGCCAGTTTGGGTCAGCTGTCCTGGCTTTGCTCCTCCTGGCTGCTTGTGCAGCTCCGCACTGGCAGAGCATGAGACACTGAAAAGTCCTTGGCTTGGGGTAAGCCCTAGTTAACAACATCCCAAACATTAGTGTGTAATCAGTATTATTCTCATACTAAATCCCAAACACAACAGAGTGCCATTTACTAGGAAGAAAATTAATCCTATCCCAGCTAAAATCAGGACATTAAGGAACCTTTCACATATATTTGACCCAAAGAACTGATTGCATTGTGATATCTTTTAGAGTCTGTAGAACAGCAGTATTATGGTCAACACAGAAATAATGATCTCTAGTTTCACTATATGTTACCTGTATATAGCCTCTAGTAATATTGTGCATTATTCTTCTTTCCTTTCTGTCACCTCTGTCATTAATCTCAGTAGCTAAAATTATGAAAGCAATAATATGCTGAAATAAAGGAAAGACCAATCAGGATTTTTTGTTTGGCATCATTTGGTCTTGATAATGTGTATCAGCAATCACATAGAAAATATGAGGTCTGCAAATGCAATATTTAAAAAAAAAAAAATAAATAAACCCACAAACCAGGCAAATAAGGCGCACAGATTATACTTAATTTTTGAGAGTTTTCTTTATGACATTTTAGTCAGACATTTAGTGTCACTTCAGTTATGATTATAAAATAATAAATGTTGAATACACTACTGATTTTATTTCCAGGTATTGATAGGTGCAATATTTTAATTACTTATGTCTTACTTCTGGAATCATAAGTATTTCCCTGGATGAAAGAATGTATGCCCTGCTAAGTAGCAGTAATTTGCATCAGTACTACATCTGATGCCCAGTCACTCCATTCTCAGCCCCCCACACAGATTATTATTGCTGAGAGCATCAATTGCCCAGACAAGGGAATGTAAAGATATTTAAACACATTAATAGATAGACTAAGACTTCTGATTTTCATCTGATCATAATGAACAGTGTCAGCATGACAGGTACTACATTCACTCATGAGTATGTCAGCAAAATTTGGGTATTTTTCTCTTCAAAAAGTTTTTAGTCTTTAAGAATAATCTGAAATTGAGTATGACCTTCGTGGAAACTCATTCATATAAGGCTGGTGTAAAAAAACGAAGTTCTAGTGTAAACTGGCATTAAATATAGCGGTTATGAAAGCAATTTCTGTAGAGAAAGGCTCATAAGCAATCTATCTTAATCCAATTTAGACATCACTGACTCAAAAGAAAACAAAATCCCTGTGCAATTGCAGTGAGAGTTAGGAATTTTCTCATCCATGTACATCACTGTTACCAGTTCCTGTCAAAAGAGTGTGAGAATAATCATGGGATGGGTAATAGTCACAATTAGCATTTCAGAGAGGCTATTCTAGGTTGAGATACTGGTAAAATGTTAAGAAAATAAGTTTGATTGTGAGCATAAATAATGGTGTGAATTGCTACATTGCTAAGGAAAACACAACTTTCTCTGTTTAAAACAGCTTTCTTGTCAAAAAACAAGTGCACTAGTATCATTTATGCAGTACTTTTTTACTGATTTAAATAAAAATTACCAAAGTCTGGAGGCTTTTTGTGGGGTTTTCGAACCATAAAAGAAGTCAGTTTGTATATATTGGCTGATAGATATTTGTTTTACAGGAGTATTCAAGCAAAACTGATGTAATTTCTCTCTAGAAACTAGAATTTCCTTAAAGTTGTCTGTAGTATGCCATGAGCTATAGCAGTTTCTAGACAGTCTGTGGACTCTGCTTTTCCCCTCCAGTCTGGTGCAGCTGGGTGCTGAGGTGCATCAGAGAAGCAAAAACAGAATTTCTGCTGAAAAGTGCTGAGTGCATTTATACCCTAGATCCCTAGATATTTAAATCTTTAAAAAGAACTGATCTACTGATTTTAGGTTTTTTAGTGCCAAAATGACAACAGGAAAGTTCTTGGCTCAACAGTGAACTGCTCTGGCTATAGTCAGTAATTTTGGTCATACAGAGGGGCAGTTTCTGTGTCTGGGAAGTGGATTATATCAATGGAGGTGTGTCTGTTCTTCAGAATTTCCTCATCTTCTTTGAAGAAATCTATGGGTAAATTTTAGAGATTAAAGATTTTAGGCTGTTTCCTTCCAGAGCAACAGGGAACACTTGTTAAGAGTGACTTGAGATTTCTGAGTATCTGCTGTGCCTGCAGTGTGGGAACAGGATATATTAATTTGAAAAGGCAATGCAATATGTATTATGAACAGCTCCAGTTGTGCTCAAAACACCACAGAGCTAATGTATATCACAGAAAGTTGTGTTAGAGTTACTGAAGAGATGTCCAAGTATAACTGCATCAGTAGTTTGTTTCTATTTTTGAGAACATTTCTATTTTAAAAGTGACCTAAAGGAGTCTTTTTGGAAGAGCAGAATAACCTAAGAATAAGAGAATGTTTTAATTTTGCTTAAATAATATATTAAGTGTTAGACAAAGAAATATTTTTGGTTATTTTTATTTTGTTTAAAAAAATGAAAAATAGGTTTTTAGCCTGCAAATCTTTTCCTGAAAACTCATTGTTCATCACTTGCAAGACATTTGGAGACTGATCAGTTATTTAAACTAAAGGGGGTCTCATTTTCTTTTCTCCAAACATATTTTTGAACCACGTTTTACTTACATAGAGTAGCATTTGGAAATTGATGTCCTGATAACAAGGTTATATATTAGATTAAAAAAAGCTAAGCTGTTAGACACACATGAAGGAAAACTTAAGTCACAGTGTTTGCATTAGATCTTCTGCATACTGATGTATAATTGTCATTCCAATTTAAAACGTTTTTACCTAAAGAAATCCTGTCAACACCATTTCTTATTTTGCACACTATCTGTTTATTACCCATTTCTCTCATCGTTTAAACTTGCACTTATTTATGTAATTTGTCCTGGCTATTGAAAGGTTTCTGTTATTAAAGATTCATGTTGTCTTCCTATAAAACATGAAAAATTAGAGAACAAACTTGCACTGCAACTTTGAAAAACCACATAAACTACTTTTCTGTGACTCAGTGTTTTATCAGCTGCAGTGCTTTTAACTGCTGCCTTCTTCAAGTTTCAGTTTTTGTTACAACTAGTTCCTAAGGAAAAAAGCGATAATTGCAGTTGAACTATGTGCCTTTCTTTAATCTGTGGGTTAAGTACTTTCCAAATAAGGTCCACTGTCAGTGGACAACAGCTTTTCCTGTTAAACAGAATTTGTTTCATTACCTTTTCTTTATAAGAAAAAAACAAGCATTAGGAGCTTGTTTGCAACTAAAAAGATCTGAAATGAGCACACAGTGAAACTACTGAGATGCAATTATTAGCGTGTTGGCTTTAGGTTGGTTTTTAGCAGCTATGTTATGTAAGTGCCTTAAATATTTTGAAAATATGGAATACTTGCAGTGTGCACTGGTCTCTTCCCTGCAAATTCTAAGTGCTGTGAGGTCAGTCCTGCAACGCTTAAATAAATGTTTCAATATATTACAGGATTAAGTCCATATGCAATGTGAATAGTGCCCAGTAGGTTTTTGGTTCGAAGCACAATGTGTTTTTTTCATTAGGTCATGTCTACCATGGGTGTAGTGTCCTAATAGTGGAAAGTTAGTTCCCTAATAAGATTCTCTTGACTTTGTTGTTTTTTTCAAAAAAGTTATAAATTAATGCTGAGATAGCCCAGAAGGGAAGAAAAAAAGTTGCAGGTTTTGTCTATAGGATGTTATGGCCCAAGCATTGCATTATATTCTTTCCCAATGCTATTGCTTCACTGAAATATAAGATCAAAGGTGCTGTCTTTAGTGCCCTGAGTTTTATAAGCTTTTGAGTATCACTGCCTGTCAAAATGTTTAAGGTCATGCAGTATAAGTACATATGCAATATTCTTTCCAAGTGAGAATGTCAGTATTCTCAACAAGAGTAAGAAGTTACAAAAGACTTTAGAAAGTCTTTAAAAAAAAAACCAAAAAACAACCTAAAATCACCTAGTGGTCTGTTGCACCAGATTTTACACTGGTGTCGCTCCAGCTGTGCCTGTGAGGTTTCTTGCTCTGGCTTATGGCCATGGTAGTTCCGCTCAGTGTGCTACCAGTGAAGCGATACGCAGAATAAATAAATAGACTCCACAACCTGGGGTAGTTATGAAGAGGGTATGTATTGTCAGTGCCCAGCACAAGTGAGATCGCTCTCCAAAAACTTGTACCCCGAGCCTCAGTCTGCCCCACACTTTTATTCCCAAAGGTGTTCCATATGCAGTACATTACAGAACTTTCCCATGCATATTCAACCCCTGGCCCTGCCTGTCCTCACCTCTCATGCTAAATAAGTCCACACCCTTCTGGGCACTCGTGGTTTGCT